AATATACAAAGCAAGTGATACACAATGCAATTGCTCACCACCCACTGGCCGATGCTCAGCTGGTCTCCGAGCAGTGACTGCAGTCCCATCTCCCCACCCCAGCCAATTCCCTCCCAAAGCATGACGTCATATGGTGTGGGATACCCCTTGGGCCAGTTGGGGTCAGCTGTCCCAGCTGTGCCCCCTCCCAGCTTCTTGAGCACCTGGCAGAGCAGGGGAAGTGGAACAAGTCCTTGCCTAGTGTAAGCCCTGCTTAACAACAACTAAAGCATCAGAGTGTTATCAACCTTCTTCTCATCCTAAATCCAAAACACAGCGCTGTGCCAGCTGCTAGGAAGAAAATTAACTCTATCCCAGCCAAACCCAGGACACTGGAAAATGCCTTTTTTTGTTGTTTTTTTTCTGCCCTCGTGGTCCCGGTGTGGGGGCAGAGGCAGCTGGCTTGGGCAGTGGGTGCTGTTCGGGGTTTTGGGCACCCCGCATCCCCTCCTGGCTGCCGTCGCCTTTCCCAAGCACTGCTCGGGGGCGGCTCACCCAGCGCCCCATCTCCCCGCTTGGCCAGGGGGGACAGCGGACGCTTCCCAAAATCCCCATGTCCTGGTTTCGGCTGGGATAGAGTTAATTTTCTTCACAGTAGCTAGCACAGTGCTGTGTTTTGGATTTAGTACCAGAAGAATGTTGATAACACACTGATGTTTTCAGCTGTTGCCAAGTAGTGCTCAGACTACTCAAGGACTTTTTGAGCTTCTCCTGCTCGGCCAGGTGCATAACAAGCTGGGAGGGAGCACAGCTAGCACAGCTAACCCAAACTGACCAAAGAGCTATTCCATACCATATAAGTCATGCTCGGGGGGGGTTAGTTGGTCAGTTTGGGGGAAAGCGATCGTGGCTCGGGGAGTGATCGCAGCTCGGGACGGGCTGGGCATCGGTCGGTGGGTGGTGAGCAATTGCGTTGTGCATCATTCGTTTTGTATATTCTGTATATTCTGTTATCATTCTCATTCTTACTATTATTATAATTTTCTCTTATTGAACTGTCTCTGTCTCAGCCCTCGGCTCTAACTCCATTTTTTTTCCTTCCCGATTCTCTCCCCCATCCCACTGAGGGAGGGGGGAGCGAGCGAGCGGCTGCGTGGTGCTGAGTCGCCAGCTGGGTTAAACCACGACGCCCCGGCAGCCTCGGGCCGGGCGGGGAGGGCGCAGCCCCGGGGTT